TGGATCTCCAAGTTCATCGCACTATGGTCTGATAATATACAGGGGATAACTTCAATTCCTTTGCACTTACTCAAGCATGTTTTATGTGTGAGTATGTGGCCTATTTTGGAGAATGACCCATGTTGAGCAGAGGAAAATTTGAGGAAGATTAAGTTTTCTGTCTACCTTGAGGAAACCCTGACCTTTGGAAGAATTTTATAAATTTTTGAAAGAGGAAAAGGAACTTGATATTAGAATAGCAGCAGAAGGTTCTTTGCACTGAGCCATGGTGAAAACTCACTGAAGTTGCAGACATGAATTGGTAAACGCACTACTAGGTGTAATTATGTAAGTCTTTTCAACAGTACTTGGAGACAAACAGCAGAGAAATCAGCAGTTGAAGTAAAACAAGTTAGACTTTGATGAGGAAGATGTACAATCTTGAAAGCACTGCTTTATGGAGCTAGATCATGGTATATGGCGGGGCAGAAGAGCACCTCAGCCCAGAGAGAATTTATGGATTATTAGGAAGCCAAAGATGAAGAGGTCAAGAGAAGGAATTTCTTACTGTGCCAAAGAACCACAGTATTGGCTATGAAGGTTTCAAAGGGCTGACAGAATCCAAATCTTTGGTAAGATTTTGTAATGTTTCAGGCTTGGATGACTCTGGATGCTCCTGGTGATGATCCATACCAGTAAGCTCTGTGTTACTTAATGAATAACCAGAAGCAATTAACTTACAATGAAAAAATACTACTTATCTCATGGTTTTGGAGGTTTTGGGGGCCCCCATAGGTTTGACCTTCTGGTAAGAGTTCCAAACAGCAAGAATAGGGAGCACATGCGGTAGGGAGCATGTGTCAGAGGAAATGAATTACATCACAAGCCAGGACCCAGAGATTGAGAAACTGGGGTCTCACAATTGCAACACTTTGAGAGCAACACTCAATGACCGAAAGACCTCACACAAAACCTTCTCATGAGGCTCCACAGTGTCTTTAAATACCACCAGCCTCAGAACCAGGGCTTTAATACACAGACCTTTGGGGGATGTTATCCATTCACACTGTAACATGCTTGTAGGAGTAAATGAGGAAGACAATAAGGGAACTGCCATTAAGGTTGAAGAGATTAAACTCTCTTGGTTAACTTGGTTGATGGTCCCTATGCAAGCTTGGGGGAACTGGTATCCCAGACCTCTTGCTAAATGCATATGATTGATTGTTGGCCAGGGAGAACTCTATATCTGGGCCAAATTCTTCCCAAATGGAGTAAGGAGGCCTGTCTCAGCCCAGAGTTGAAAAATCTTGGCTAGATTATTCCAGTAAATTCTCAGGATGCCTGGCAAGTACCCTGGTTTGCGGTATTCTCTAACTGGTGAAAAAGCTTGAGCATGTAGCTGGATGCCTTGCCTCCCAACCGCAGCCTGTACAGGTAGACTGGATAGATACCTTACCCTCTTCTTGGGCCGGACTACTTTCTCCACTCTCCTGGGTTGTTTTTTTTTTTTTAACGATGAAAGGAGGTGGGCTAGGAAAGATGAGGTTATGAAAGCAGAAAAGCTTGCCCTGAGCTGCAGACATAGGGCCTCTCAAGTTGTTTGTTGGAGTCGCCTCATAGTGCAGATGAAGGGACTTGGCCCTTGTCAAGCTAGCAGATTAGCTGAGACCTTTCCTTATGTGTGACTTGGCAAAGAGAAAAACTGCCTTTTAATTTGTGAGTGAAAATCTTAGCCTACTTTGGAAGAGGATCCCAGGGAGGTCTGAGGCGGGGTGAGGAGCCCCTCTGTCTCCTCTCTTATTAGGAGATCACCAGGACCTGGAGGAGAAGGGCTGGGAGGAAAAGGGGCCCAGTCCCCTTGGGCCCATCACTGTCTCCGAATTTGCGCCTGTATTCGGATGAGGGGCTGGCTCGGTGGCCTCCGCTGTCAGCTTCCTTGGTGTCCTTCTGGGTGTCTGTCCTGGGCTCCCCTATTTGGCTCCCTGGCCTGCGGGGCTGGGGCGGGGAGGGAGCAGCGCAGGGGTGGGAGTCGGGGAGGAACATGTGCAGAGGGGCTCGGAGGCCCGCGGGGCGGGCAGGAAGGCAGAGGGGTGGGGACCAGACCCGGGGTGGGCTGCACCCTTCCGCGCTGACCCATTCCACACCCTCCCCAAGCAGACCCTGTCAGCTGGTTCACTCCCCTTTCAGGAGGAGGGAGGAGGAAAAAGTATCTAGCCTCTTTCTGCTGGGGGTGGGGGTGGGGGTGGGCAACAGAAGAGAGCTTGGGTAGCTCTGTAGCCTTTGCTCTGGCTCCGGGAGACCATGCATCCTTGCATTGACCTGCGCGGCCACAGGCGGGGACTTGACTTCTGGAGCTGAGGGCTGAAACTTTGTGACTTTTCTTCTCCCCGAAGAAAACTGAATCATGCCATGTGCGCAGAGGAGCTGGCTTGCAAACCTCTCTATGGTGGCTCAGCTCCTCAACTTCGGGGTACTTTGCTATGGCACACAGCCTCAGCCAGGTCCGGTTCGCTTCCCCGAACAGAGGCAAGGTTAGTGTCTTTTTAAAATTTCTTTAAAAAGAAAAATTTCCTTTAAGACTCGTGGTGCTAGGACATGTGGGAATTTGGTCGCTCCCTTTCCCCTTCTCCTACCCGGCAGAACTGAACCCCGGAAAGCCGTCTGACTGTGCAGAAATGTGGGCTGGGGGCTCAGGTTTTCTTGATGTGGCCTTGAAGGTGCTGACGCCTCAGTCCCACTGTAAGGTGAGCGCCGCCAATTCTCCCTCTCACAGGACATTCTTGGAAAGGCTTAAGGGACAGCTGGCAACCTTTTCTCCCTGGCTCTTTTGTCTTCTCTCTGAATGCCGCACTGTTTCGACCCTCTACTTTTCAGATTCTGAACATGGAAAATTATTTTTATTAAAAAAAAAAAGTTCCAGCTGGCCACAGGCGGTCATTACAGTGTTTCTAGTTAGTTTTAAAGTTCTGGTCGGGGAAGGGGAAATGAGATTCCGCACCCCTGCTGAGCACATTTGGCTGTGTTTTGCTTTCCTGGAAAGATTTAGGGTTGTGTTTTTAAAACAACAGTCTTTTGGGGGAAATCTACCTCCGGAGGGGCTCACTTTCCCCTGTCCTGTCTTGCTGATCACTTTCCTGAAACCCATGTTCTAGGAAACACTGGAGTTTTAGTGGGCAGTTTTTATTATTACTATAATTATTTTTTAACCCTAACACCAGGAGCAAGATGGTGCTGTTGCCTGTTTTTTGTTGGATTTGGAGGGGTGGGAGACCATTTTCTTTCTGGTGGGGAGCACACTGTGCCTCTGGAGAAACAGCAGCAGTGGTGGCCTGGGTGTCACTGCACCCTGTCCCTACACTGGGCCACTGACAACACTGTTCTGGGGTGCAGGCACCTCTTCTACTGTCCCTCTTTGCAGCTGAGGATGCTGAAGCATGGAGTGCTTTGTGGACCCAGACTTCCACAATAATGCAGCACTGCTTAATAGTAGCTGTAGCCCAACCCCCCCCCCCCCAGCACATGGTTAGCATCCATTAAGTTTTGTGTTTGCTGACTGGGCTCAAGTCTCAGAAGGGAAAGGAAGTGCCTTCCACAGCTTTCTGACATCCCCTTAATTCCCAAGGCCAATTGGGTGATAAACATCACCAGCTTATTCGTGTTCAGGGGATTTCTAGGCAAGATTTTTCTGCCCACGTTGCAAAGTTTCAACACTGCTGGAGAACTCCACTGTGGCTTCCAGAGCTATCAGATGCAAGTCCCTCCCTCCCTCTGCTTTACTTGGAAGCTAGGCTGGCCAACACTGGGGTTAGATGTCAATCATCCAGCACTGGGTTGTGTAAACGGCCCAGCTACAATCTCCCACCCCCAAGTTTAAAATAGCAGCTCTTGTTGTTCTTTGAAAAACAATCCCTTTGTAAAAAGTCTCTCTTCTGGGGCAGCACAGAGCCTGCAAGCACTGCGCAGTGCATTTGGAGATGATTGGGATCAAAGACACACATCCTTCTGGGTTGGTTTTCAATTCTCCTTCTCCACATCTTCTTTGTGAGGGAATTCAGCCTGGTGTGGAGCAGACACTGCTGGGCCTTGCTTGTTTCTCTTTGGGGAAAGTGAGATAGGATTATTTTCACTAGGCAACTTTAGGGTTCTCTGCTGAGAATATTTGATACTAAAAAATAGTTTTAGAGTGCATCAAGTGATGCATATATATTTAGGTTCGAAATGATTTCAGTTTTAAAGGTTTATTCACCAATCTTAGATGATCCATTAATAGATTTACAGGTAATTCATTCTTTCGTTTTGTTTTTGTTGTTTTTGTTTTTTTTTCGTTTTGGTACCAGGGATCGAACTCGGGTCCTTGCGCTTGCAAGGCAAGCGACGGAACCACTGAACTAAATCCTTGGCCCAAGGTAATTCATTCTTGGTGCTAAGGAGAAATTTCTAAGTGGACTTCTCTTTAGAACTGAATCGGGGGAGGGGAAAGAGAGAGAGAGAGAGAAATTGAGAGAAGGAAATTCTAAAGCTTCCTGGGGATAGGATGACCTTCCCTTTTTACTCCAATGTTTTTGAGTTGCACTCAAATTCTGAACTTTTAAACTTGAGAATTACTTTGGAAATAATCTCACTTATCCTCTTCATCTTTACCAATGCATAACAGGAGGCCTATGTAGTCAGTCTGCTAGTCGACATTTATTTGTCCAGACCTACTTAATGCCACTTTGCTAGGTCATCTCACAGTTGAAAACAAATCCAGTCACCAGCCAAGCTTAAGAATTAGGATTTTAGTCCTATGAAAGAGTATGGAGATGAGTTCAATCTTTTCCAGGCCTAAAAGTAGGTAGATTGGAGCAACCCTACTAGGTGTTCTTTCCTCTGTTATCATGTAAGAATGTTCTAGGACTTCTCCAAGCTTTCTTGATTTACAACCAGATATCAGAATAATGGGGAATATGAGTCTTGCCCACAACATCCTGCTTCCCTTTTAATGCCAATAATATCTCCTTAGGTTTGCTTATTGCTGTTCAGATGTTCCTCCACGTATGATGGGATTATGTCCCAATAAACCCATTATAGAACAACATCTATAACCATTTATTTGTGCTATTCTGCAAAGAAGAAATGGTTTTAGATATTTTATTTAGATAAGAGGAGACTTCACAGTTTTGTTATCATGTGTTAATTAAAATAAGCTACATGGTTGACAGATGAATTATCACGGGGTTAGTGAGCAAGTCCAGCTTCCTGTGGCATATTTTACAATGATGAGGGGATCAACATGATTCCTCACAACTTGTCAACATATGTCAATTTCTATAATACAAATACGCATCATAAGGGTACAATCTCCCATGGAAAATAATTATAAAACAAACTATACTTGCTGCAGGAATTTGGTCACCCTTATTAGTAGGGAGTTTTAGAAATGCAGTTGCTTTCTAAGGTAGAAATAAAGATACGGATTGTGTTCACCTCAGCACAATACTAAGTTGGAATGGTACAGAGAAGATGAATATGACATGAAAATTCATGAAATATTCCATAAGAAAAGAAGTGTGAATTCAATCCAAACTTTATAAAATCTGTTAGATAAGTATTCTCTCATTCTGTGCCTTTTTTTTCTAGTTGAGGGTAAAAGATACCTTGGAAGTTTATATTTTCAAAAGACTTGCACCAACATGCTTTATTTAGTTTCTTGTGAAGTACCATTGAAACTTGTGGCCTAAGTTGTCAAATTTAATTTTTAAATAAGGCAAATAAAAATGTTCAGGGCTTATTATTTATTTCCATAAACTCTACTGCAGGTTGCGATATAATTACAGGGCATCTCAGTCCCCTGTGTCCTGCCCCAGTCTTGCTGACACTCCACCTGGACATCTGGTCCTCAGAGATAGACCCTTGGAAGCAGTGAGGACAGAGCTTAGAAGTGTTTCCAGTGGCAAACAACCCAAGCATGATTCTTCACTTCTCTTTATTTTCCTTTGTAGAGATGGGAGTGGAGGCTAAAATGAGTGTTATTATTCCATTTCAATGTATAAATAAGAGGGTTTACTTAACTTTCAGTTTGGAGGCTGAAAATGCAAGATTGGAGGCCCCATCATATTATCTCTTGGTAAGGGCCTCTTGACTATTACAACATAATATATGGCATCATAGTGAGAGAAAATTTGGGAGGGAGCAGTAACATGGTGAGACAGGACACTAGGGATTCAGGGCCAGGCTTGCTTTGTTTTTCTTCTAAACAACAACTTGCTCTCATGGAAACTAACTAGGATACCGTGAGAATGACTTTAACCTCTTCCAAGGATAGTGCCCAATGACCTAACCATCTTCCATTAGCCCTCCCTCTTGCAGGATCCATTGTCTCAAACCTACTGCACTAGAGAGCAACCTTCCAGTACAAGAACCTTTGGGGAATAAGTCACATCCAAACCTATCAATGTAGGACACAGTTAATAATACATCACCAGGGAACTATGAGGATTAGATAAGACCAAATAAGTATACTTTTAATGCCACTCTTGATCATAGAAATGGTAAAAATTAAGAGATGAGGACCGGGGATTTAGCTCAGCAGTTCCACCGCCTGCCTCGCGAGTGGAAGGACCTGAGTTCGATCCCCAGTACCAAAAAAAACACAAACCGCGCCCCCCCCCAAAAAAAAACAATTGGGGCCGGGGATTTAGCTCTGTGGTTTGGCCGCCTGCTGTGCAGGTGCAAGGACCAGAGTTCAATCCCTGGTACCAAAAAAAAAAAAAAAAGAGATGACACCTATTTCTTACATCCCCTCTGACTTCTATTTTCTTTTGGCCAAGATTATAGCTAACTAATCTGCCAAACTAAACTCCTACTGGAAGAACTATGGGCTTCTCCCCATCTCTGCTTGGAGATTGCATCTATTTATGGCCACAGTGATCCCTGGTCACCAAATTTATATCTTTAATACCAACGATGTTAGTGTTTAGCTAGTGAATGTTATTTGTTAAGCATTATTTAAAATCTGTTATATATACTAATACATTGAAACCTCACAACCACCTTAGGAGGTAGATACTATTATTTTTATGCCCATTGTTTAGATGAGACTACTGCAATTGGGCTGTCAATGTAAACCACACTTTTTAAGTGGCCTCCTACTTTCATCCATAGCTATGAGCTGCCGTGGTTTAGCTGTCTCCTTGGCATTCAAATTAGGAGTGAAAACTGATCTTCCCTTTTATAATTGTATTTATTGCTGAGCAAACTCAGGTAACTTAACAATCATCCCTGGAGGCTGTGCTGTTACCTCTAACTCTGTTGTGTTCTCTGCTGAGGGCATCTGGTCCTCTTTCTGTATGTGCCAAACAATGGTTGCGAGTATGATTTTGAAACAGAAAGCACAGGGTTTCAATCTAAGTAATGTTGCACCTGGACTTCTTAGACTCAGTTTCTTTTGCTATGAAATAGGGTTAACAACTGAATTGTACCACAGGGTTGTTATGAGTATCAATTGAGAAAAAATATGTGTATCAGTAAGCTTTTCTGTTGAGGAACACAATGCCCAGCATTTGCAACTTGATGAGGAAAGAATTAATTTGGCTCATGTTTTCAGGGGATTCAGTCCATTATTAGCTGGCTCCAAGGCAGAAGCATCATGGCAGAAGGGCTTCATGGCAGCTGGGAAGCAGAGGAGGGGAACAATACTAGAGAGGAAAGGGCAAGGGACCAGATATAATACCCAAGGTTGTGCCTCTGTCACCCACCCAGATATACCCAGAAGTATGCTCCACCAATCCCCTGGGTGACTTCCAAGGCAATTAAGTTGCCTATACCTGTTGCTCAGCTCTCAGAAGATTGAGGCAGTAGAATCATGAGTTCAAGGCTAGCCTGGGCTACACAGTGAGACCTTGATTCATAAAACAGAACAAAAAAAGGTGATACTGATTTAAAATTGTATCGGTTGGTCTCTGCTTTGTGGCAACTTGAATTTATTATAACTGCTTTCTGGCTATAATAAATAAGACATTTTCAACACTTTTCAGGCTTGTTCAAAGAGTATAACCTTTAGCTCAGAATTCATTTTTTAAATATGTAGTTGTTTTTAGTTTTAAATTGGTCAGTAATGGCTTTTAGAAAAATAATCTGTTAGGAAAAATGTTTATTTCTCTCTCTGCTTGGTGGAGATGCAGAAGCTTGCATATGCCTAGGGTATTAAAATGAGTGTTTTCATTTTGTGTCAGTTCCTGCCACGAACTTGAGTGTGAAGAAGAAAAGGAGGCTAATTTGCCATGCATTTGTAAAAAGAAATTCCAGACTATGCATGCAGGGGTTGCAAAAAGATGATGTGATTCTAAGCCTTTCATTTTTGTTTTGTGTTTATAAGAGGCTTCAAGGTCAATGGAAAGATATTGGAGAGAGATTTTTATCAGGAGAGATTTCGAGTACAGGGGAATTCTCCTCTACCGTCCCCTCAGATCAAGAGATTTCAGAGGTTTGCTGTGGGTTTTGGGAGCATGGCAAGTAGATTTGAACCTTAACATGATGTTATGGCTTGTATCTAGATGTTCCCCCAAAGCCTCCTGTGCTCATAGATGGGGAGGCTTTTTTTTGGTACCGGGGATGGAACTCGGGTCCTGCGCTTGCAAGGCAGGCGGTAGAACCACTGAGCTAAATCTCCGGCCCAGATGGGGAGTTTTGTAGGTGACTGGATTAGGTTGTGGTGCTAGGACTAAGGGGGTGGATAAGGGAAGGTCCATCTTGGGGGGGGGTTGGCACCACACCAGAGGCTGTTAGCCTGGATGTGGTCAAAGGGACAGGCAAGCTGGATTTTACTACCGCTGCTGCTTTGCTGCCTCCTGCTTGCTTTGACATGGACTTTTCTCCTCTGTGATGCTCCTCTGCCATGCCACCAGACACATGACAATAAGCAATAGATTTGCTGGAATGGTATCTGGGACAGAGCCAACCAAGAGTATGGCCTTGCCAGCAATCAATGGTGTGGGTTACCTAATTTTAGGGTGAAGTCTAAGGATTATTATTTTTAAATTTTTTTAATTTTTTATTTATTTTTTTATGTAAGGATCATTATTATTGTCATTTTTTTTTTTTGATACTGGGGATCAAACTTGGGTCCTTGGGATTGCGCAGCAGGTGGCGAAACCACTGAGCTAAATCAACAGCAAATATTCTTTTCTTTTGGTACCCGGGATCGAACTCAGGACCTTGCGCTTAGGAGGCAGGCAGTGGCACCACTGAGCTAAATCCCTGGCCCTGTAAGGATTATTATTATTTCCTGTGTGTTAAATTTAGACTCCTGAAAAGGATCTTGAGTCACATGGAAATGAGGCCACAAGGAACTCCTTGTAGTGGTAGGGTGGCCTCAATATAGGGTGGAGGACTGAAAGCTGGCTAGTTGGAGGAGGGATTGCCCACATCTTGGGACCTGGGCAGTCCCTAGTGACAGAGTTTTCCCAAAACCCAGAGAGTATCTCGTGAGAGAAAGGGTCAGCATCTGGACACTGACCACACACACGGGTACCATCGCCAGGTGGCAGGTGCCCCCAGCCAAGTCAGACTTTCCTGTCCCTAACTTCCCTCCTTTGCTACAACCCTGGAGCATCCAGAGATATCATTGTGAGCAGCGGAGCAGAGAAACATGAAGGAAGTATTGCAGAAGGGGGCTATTTCCGCCCTACTCAACCTGGACATTTCTCTCTTCATTGAAGTCTGAACATGAGAGGGCAGAGAAGGGCCTCTACTAGATGAGGTCAAAGAAGTGCCAATGTTGGATGATCCCAGGCATTTCCGCAGAAGTGAGTGGGAGGTAGAAGGGGGAAGTGAGTCAGTTATACTCCTCAGCTCATGGCACGCTATCATTATTATTTGTGCAGAAACTATCTTTTGTTTTATATATTTTACATTTTTGTCTGCATTCCACACTCCTATTTCTCCCCATGGCAATCTATTTTAATGGGCTCCACATGTATATTTTGTTTGTGGGTGTTCTGGAAAACTTTCTGGTGTGTGTGTGTGTGTGTATCTTCCATTAATAGCTCTATATTAACTTGCCTTGTTTCTTATTTTTCGTTGAGTATTATTTTTAAGATTTGTTCTCGTTGCTATGTGGACAGTTGTATCTAAATATTGCAGTTGGAAATAGTAAGTCTGTACTTTTTACACTTAAATATTGAGACCATTTGTTAGGACCTAAGAGTAGAAACTGATCTGCATCATATTTCATCCAAGGCAGAGAAGAATGGTTCTAAAAATGATGTTTGAGAGCACTTGTCTAGAACAAAGTGCTCCTTTATAATTGCATCCCTTCAAGGCCATTTCTTTTAATTAACTAGCTACTGACATGTTCACTGATACATCGATACAGTAACCGAACACCTGTGGTGTGTAAAATTCTGTCCTCCAAAAGGTTCAGGGACAAATAGTGCAATAGAAAAATGGCAATATAGAGTAAAACCAATCCGGGAAGTACAGCGAGTGAGGATATGAGGGTTTAGGCAAAGGAGAAGAACATTATATCAAAGAGGAAGAATTTGAGTTGTTTCTTTAAAGCACAGACAGGATTTTGATAGAAAGCAAAATCAATGTAGTTGGGAAAGTAACCTGAACAAAGTAATGAAAGTAGTACAGCTGGAAGGTGGCAAGCAGAGTGATCTCTACCTTTCACCCACCTACCCCCTCCTTCCCTCCCTCTTTCTCCCCTCCCTTTCTCCTCTCTCTCACTCCTTCTCCTGCTTCCTCCCTTTTTTTCCCTCCCTCCCTTCCTTTTCTTCTTCCTTCCTTCTCTCTCTTCCTCCCTATTTCTCTCTTTCTCTGGTCTTTCTTTTCCCTTGAAGCAAAATATTATCTTACTAAATGGTTAATGGTTTGCTTTACTTAGTCTATAATTCTGAGTGATGACTAATTCCATGCTTATTAGATCCTTTGTTATTCCCAATCATCAAAATAAAGAGGTGGTGATGGGGATTAAAATTTAGATAAGTTGCCGGGGATTTAGCTCAGTGGTTCCACCACCTGCCTCACAAGCGCAAGGTCTCAAGTTCGATCCCTGGTACCAAATAAATAAATAAATAAATAAAATAAAATACATAGAATAAAATTTAGATAAGTCAAAAGGTATGTGTTTTTTGTGTGGAGGAAATAAGTGTTCCTACCTTGTATTTTTAAAGTGGTAAGTTTTGTGTTTTGAACAAATACCTCATATTCTAATATGTTTCCTTAGCATTTTACTTTGTGTACTTTGTATTTGTAAACATTTTTAAAAAACTCAAAGTTCTTTTAAGCACTCTGCTGTATCATGGGACCTTCTTATACTGTCATTGCTGTGAGGTTTGTCCAAGTGTGTGCTCTGAGTTCACCGTGGTTTTGTTTTTGGTTTTTCCTTTAACTGGACTTAGGAAGTTTCCTAAGGCTCTGTGATTTGTATCAACGGACTTTAGATTTGCACTGTCCCAGATCCTCATGCTGATCTTGCTCCTGTCTAACAATATTCCTCATAAACTAGTGCTCATCTTAAATTGCCTCTGATAAAATATCTGATACCCAGAGCTCTGTTTTAGTGTCAGCTCAGACTGCTGTGTGTCACTAAGGAGGACGCACTGTTTAATTTTGATTTGCTCAAGGACTTTGATGTTGACAGGACTTGTGTGTTTTGCCATCCGCAATCCAGCATCTAAGTTCCAAGTGGAAGTGAGTTTGCTTTGCTGCGCACTCAGAACAAGTCTCTCAGTCTTAATTTTGTGTCTACTTTTCTTTCAGAGCATTTTATGAAGGCCTTGCCAGAATATCACGTGGTGGCCCCCGTCCGAGTAGATTCTAGTGGGCATTTCCAGTCCTATGGCTTGAACCATCCTGTTACCAGCAGCAGGAAGAAAAGAGGTTTGGATGTCTCAGAGGACAGGGTATACTATAGAATTTCACACGAAGAGAAGGACCTGTTTTTTAACCTGACAGTCAATCGAGGATTTCTTTCCAACAGCTACATCCTGGAGAAGCGGTACGGGAACCTTTCCCATGTTAACATGGTGGCTTCCTCGGGCCCCCCTTGCCATCTCAGGGGCACAGTTCAGCAGCAGAGCACTGCAGTTGGGACTGCAGTCCTCAGTGCCTGTCATGGACTGGTGAGTGTCTGGGCTGATCACTTTCCTCCTCTGCCCCAGGCCCTTCGAGTCTCAGTCTGGACCTTCTCCCAACAGGTTCAAAGCCCCCTACAAACTTGAGAATGGAGTCCTCCAAAGGGGTTAGGAAAAAGCATACAATAAATAGAAGATCCATTTGGAGGTAGAGAGAATAAGGGCACTGAGGGTTCAGAGGAGGAGGAGGAGGGGGAGAGAGAACTCATCCCAAGAACATGGGGAGAGAGAGAAGAGAAGAAGGAGGATTTGAGTAGGATCTTTGGGGTAGGCCTGAGGTATTGTTCACTGACTGCTGATTGGTACCTTTTGAATTAGGAAAACCTCAATTTGGGTTGAGTGAAAGTTTTACTGATTCTGATGGTGATATCAGCAGCTAATATGAGATGATGGAGGGTTATGAACTTGGCAATCAGATGTCATGTGGGACCTTGGGTTGTCACTCTATTCCTTTGTGCTTTTGTTTTCTCACCTGTAAAGTGGGGACAATGATAGAAATGTTCTCAGTGCCATGGTTGGCCAACTGTGGTCCACCCAGTGTTTTCATAGCTGAATTTTTATTGAAACATGGATCCACTCATGCATTTACAAACCACCTATGGCTGTTTTCAAACCACATCAGCAGAGCTAAGTAGTTGGTTTAGGAACCAAAAAGCCCTGAAAGCTGAAAACATTTGTCAGAAAAGTTTGGTGACACATGTAATAGAGTATTGTGAGGATTAAATGAATAAATATATGTATATGCATGTTGGAAGAATCTTTAGTAATAATGACATCAAATGAATGCTAGCTATTATTATTTTTCTTTTTCCTGTTTCTAGTACACCAGACACTGGAATATGTAGTTTATGATGTGATTTGTGTACATTGTCCCCACCCCTCCATCCTCAGGTGTTTTTTGTTTTTTTTTATTTTTTTCAGTCAAGGAAACTTGGAGATCCTGAAAAACTTGCATAAGTTAGAGTCTGAGTCTTTCTGTTATATACCACACCTCAAAGTGTGACTAAGCTTATTTTTTATAATTTAAACTTGTGCTTAAAGGAAGCTTGGTCCCTTTGTTTCACTTAACTTCTTGGAGCAACTGCAGTGACAGCTTCATCTGTAACTCTAATGCAGGCACTGCTTGGGAAAGGGGTTCAGCTGTTTGAGGTTCTTCTCAGACTCGAGCAAGAGGCAGGCACCAGCACTCACAGTGTGTGCTTGGGGTGGGTGACTGCAGAGGCAGAGTCCAGAGTCCTGAACACTGCCAGTCCTCTGGAGTCTAAGGTTTACCTAGTAAACCCCCGATGACGTTGGCATTCTTACGGAAGGCACCTGTCCTCCCATCATCACGGCCATTTTCTTGAGAATTTCTGTTCTTTATAATTTAGGACTCTGTTTATTTTGTGTCTGTATAATTTGGCTCTGGTGGAATATTGCGGGGAAACTCATGCAAAACATTGTACAGTAATTTAAATTTTCTGAAGGACTGCTGTGGATGAATTGCTTCATACAATAAATGGAAAGTCTTGTTTTGCCTTTTTCTGTAAATCTAGATTTTGAAATATAGGTTTTTGCCATTCATCCTAATTAGAATATTACTATCACAAAACCAAGAATGGGGCCCTCTTCTCCCAGGCCTCATGCACTGCACTGCATAGTTATCAGGGAAGCTCTCCCAGCTCCGAAGTCTTCATCTTCTGGGCTCACTCACGCTTCACATCACATGTTCCCTTTGCTGTCCCAACTCATGTTTCTGTGAGATAATCCTGGACACATCATTGTCATCCAATCCTCTGTGACCAGGAGAAAAGAAGAAAGACCTTCTGATCTGGAAGGATGGGCACATAGGAATGGTCTGCATGACAAACGGCAAAGGCCACGCTTCTCCTGAGAACAGTGATATGGGAAAGTATGTCTATTCACTAACCATGCAAATACAGTGGACCTTCAAGTTACAACTAGCCTGATATATGAGCAACTTAGATTAATTAAGTTAGTAGAAGATTCATCTGCCTCTTGCTATCTATAGCACGTACCCAGGTAAATATCCAGATCTCAGCTATACTGATTTGAGTTACAGTCAGCTCTGGGGAACTGATCAAGTTTGTAAGTCAAGGGTCCATTGTAAGGTAATTATTATGCTCATAAAACCCTCTCCATGGGTTAGAGCAGTGTGTTCTTTGGACCTACAGGATTAACATCACAGGGAGACTCATTAAAAAGACAAATTTGGGGCTGGAGATTTAGCTCATTGCTGCCTCGGCCTGCCTCGCAAGCACAAGGACCAGAGTTCGATCCCTGGTACCAAAAAAAAAAAAAAA